TGCTGACCCCTCTGCTAAGGGCCATCTCTCTGGAGGACTTCCTTCCCCATCTTATCTCTGAATCAGCCCCCACGGCCATGATTTTCCCGCACTCCAAGTTTGAAGAGGGAAGTACCAGTGAAAAAATGGAACATTTGGGCCCGTTTTTAGTGACAATGGCAGATGTCAAAGAATAGGAATACTATCCCAGACCTCGGAGGGGAAGGGCCTGCACCAGGGTGTGACCGGACCTTAGGAAATCCATGAGGTCCGTGATAAAGAAATGCACCCTCTGCTCAGAGTTGGGGAGGGCCCGGGGAGAAGGAAGCAACCTTTGGGGACCAGAGGTGGAAGTCGGACGCTGAGGGGACCCTGAGTCCTCACAGCAGAAACAGTTCCTGTGAACCCAGCCTGTTCACACCCCTGCGTTCTGCCGTTGCCTCTTGCACATTCTCACGGAGGGCTTTGCTTTGTGGGTGTCCAGGGAGACCGAAGGCAGGGCTTTTGTCCACGCCTGCCCCCGGGAGGCCAGGGTGACAGTGGGGATCTTTGATTCTTCTGAGGCGCAGCACACCCCAGTGGAATTCCACCTCCACATTTCACGGTGTGCTGCTTGAAGCAGAGAAAGGTTTTGGCCCTGGTTCTCCTGAGCCTGACACAAGCTTGGCGGAAAGCTGGGGCTCTAGAGACAAGCTGGCCAAGGGGTTCAAATGGCAGGAGGTGTGCTTATCTGCAGGCTGCTTAGTGATCCTCACCCTTGTCTGCAGTTCAGGAGTCCCACAAGAATACTTAGGGATGTGTTCGGAGACTCTAATTTCTCTTCCCTGCTTTCAGCTTCCTTCCCCACTCCTCCTCCTCAACAGCAAACTTTCCTCACTTGAAGATGCAAAAGACCATTACGAATGAACTGGAATTCAATTTGGACTGTTGAATGTTTTTTTCACAGTCGACGAGGTAATGAGCAGGTGTTTCATACGACCGGTTTGCAGTAAGTAGACCGTCAACATTTTACCAGAGAGTGGATCTAGAGTAAAACCCAAATAGAGCCTGTCCCATAGCGTGGTCAAGCACTGTGCAATGGGAGCCGGATCCCACATGGCTGGCTGCAGTTCAAGTCCCGGCCCCAAGGGCTTGAAAAACATTCCAGGCATGTATGTATGTGCCCCAAACCCTGACAAGATGGAGAAATGGAGGAAAAATTTTGTGGTGTGACCACACCCCACTGGGGGGGGAGGGTTTCTCTCTCTGGTAAGTGCATGCACTCTCTCACAATTAAAAACGAAAACCAAACCAACAAACGACAAACAAACAAACAAAAACAAGATAAAAGAGACACATAGACAGTAGAAGAAACAGGCACACAGATGCCCGGCTGTGAATGAAGTCCCTGGGCTACGCCGCAGGGCCCCAGCCCCAACCACCGGTTGCAAAAACACATTGTACTCTTTGGGCCAAGCACTGGGCTGAAGTTTCCAGGAACTATCCTGATACTCTGCACTTTGGATTGCTGAATGAGATATCTAGGAGAACTTGGAAATCTCGGGTGGGGGGAACCACCCAAATAAATACAGACCCTTTGAGTGCCGGGGCTGGGGGGGGCCTTGGTGTGGGCCTTGCAGTGGTTCCTTCCCACCCAGCCCGGCCTCTCTCAGCAGCTCGGCCTTCTGAGCCCAGGGCGGCCTCCAGAGCTCCCTCCTCTGGCTGACAGGGAGATGGCGTGCCCAGAAAGCACTGTCTCCAGTCTGCTGAGGAAAACTAGAAAGTGGTAAACCTCTCTGGAAAGAGAGCAGGATACTCCACGAGGCTTTTAAACACAGGGATGACAAGCAACATGCATTCCTGGAGAAGTGCCTCGGCCTGTACCATTCCTACTCTCAGGACACAGCTGCTTCCAGCCCCGAAGAAAGGCGGATCCTCTCTCATAAACAAATCTGGCTTCAAATGTATTTCTTGGGGCTAGCTGGATGGTGTGGTGGTTAAGGCTCTGGATCCCACATGACCGATTTTGCTGTTGGAATCTTGGACCTGACGGCCTGAAAAACACACCGGGCACGTGTGCATGTGTGCCTGAAATCCTGAGGGGAGAATGGAGGAGAAGGGATTGTGGTGTGCCCATCCCCTATGGAGAGAGCTGTCTCACGTTCCCTTTCTATCTCCAGCAAATGCACGTGTCCTCTGGCAAGATCGGAAACAAACAAAACCCAAACGCACCTCTCCCTCATTTCCCTTCTAGTTCGTCTATCGTCTATCCTTGCCTCATCAACCCCATGTTTTATTTCCAAGCCATTTTTCATTGAATTTTGGGGATCTCTCTCTCTAGACAAGCGTCCTCCTTTACTGCAGGCAACACCACACACCCCAAACCTCCCAGAAGCTAGATTAGATAAACAAGTCAGATACATGGGGAGACCGCCTGCTTGCTCACCCCGTCCATTCCAGAAGAACGCTGGCATAACAGCCCAGAGCCCGAGAATCTCAAGGACAGAGTTATCGGTTAACAGTTATCTAAACCTCACCCTCCAAGATTGCTGGAACTCTCCTACAACCCTATATGTCAATAAGGAGATCAGAAAGCTGTTGTTACTTTAAATAGTAAAACACACATAACACAAAATTTACCATGTTAGCTACTTTATTTATTTTTAGAGAGAGATTTTTGCAATAGGGTATTCGTGCTTGCTGAAGAGACAGAGAGAGAGAGAGAAAGAAACCACCCCACGGGGATGGCCATGCCACAGTCCCTTCTCCTCCATTCTGCTCTCAGGATTTTGGGCATGCACGCACACACACTCGGCATGTGTTTTTAAGCTGCTGAGTCCAGGATTCGAACTGCGGTCGACTAGGCAGGAGTCCAGCAACATAACCATTATGCCATCTGCGGGTCCCCATGTTAGCCACTTCTAAGTGTACAGTTCAGTGGCACTCAATACATTAACCCTGTTGTGCAACTGTCCCCACTGTCCACCTCCAGAGTCTCTTTATCCTCCCAAACCGAAACCAGACACATGAAATACCCACTCCCTGTCTCCCTGCCCCAGCCCCTACAAGCACCCTCGGCTTTCTGTCTCCATGACTATAACCATTCTAGGTGCCTCCCATGAGTGGAGTCATACCTGTCTTTCTGTGACTGGCTTATTCCATTCGCCATAATGTCTTCAAGCTTTATCACAGTGTAGCCTGTGTCAGAACTGCCTTCTTTTTTAGGGCTGAATAATATTCCAGTGTGTGGATATGTAGTACACGTTGTTTAACCACTCATTCGTAGATAGAAACACAGTCGCTTCCACCGTTTGGTTACTGTGAGTAACGCTGTGGTGAACATGGGTGTCCAGTATCTGTTCAGGGCCCTGCTTTCAATTCTTTTGGGTAGATACCAGCAAAAGATCACTGGATCATATGGTAGTTGTACTTTTAATCTTTTCAGGACCCACCGTACTGTTTTCCACACAGCCTACACTATTTTGTATTCCCACCAGCAGCACATAAAAGTTTCAGTGTCTCTACATCCTTGCCAACATTTATGACTTTCTGGTTTTTTGACAACAGCTATCCAAGTGGATATCAAATTGTATCTCCTTGTAATTTTGATTTGCATTTTCCTAGTGACTGGCGATGTGAAGAATTTTTTAATGTCGTTATCGGCTTTCTGTCTAGCTTCTTCAGAGAAACATCTATTCAACTCCTCTGCCCGTTTTTCAATCTGTTATTGTTGCTGTTGTGGAAGCTGATTTTAAATAAACGACTCCACTGTTGAATCCCACTCTATCCCGACTGGTGCTGTCTTCCAGGCTGCCACGCACTCTCCTCTCCCCAACGACCCCTCCCCAACTTGTACATGAAGGACCGGCCTCCCTGGGGTGGTTATCGTACCAACGTCCCTCCCAGCCATCATTCAGGTATCACAGGTCACTCCTCTAGTTTAGTAAGATGAACAATCTCTTGCCTTGTGTTTCAGCCTTTTATCAAATGTAAATTGAATGGGCACGTTCATTACTTCGTCACTTGGCTCAGGCATTAAGAAAGCCTACAACACCTGGCCTTTCAGTAAGCGCTAAATCAGAACCTTACTCAGCATGCTATTT